CCCACACAGCTGGCACCTGCCCCACCTGCCCCACACAGCTGGCACACCTGCCCCACACAGCTGGGACCTGCCTCACACAACTGGTACTTGCCCCACCTGCCCCACACAGCTGCCACCTCCCCCACAGACCCCACATAGCTGCCACCTGCCCCAGCTGCCCCACGAGGCTGGGACCTGCCCCATAGACCACACACAGCTGCCACCTGCCCCACAGGCCCTGTCCAGGAGCCAGGACAGATGATGCTACCAGGCGCAGTGCAGCTAGTAACATTGCTCTCTCTCCTCAGCCAACAGCACCAGCCCCAGCCTGCTGCCCAGCGCTGGGGTCTCCACCCCGGCGACAGCGGCCCCTCCCTCAGTGCCGGTCAACACTACCGCCCTCACCAGCACCGGCGTCTCCGTGCCCAGCAGCCCGGCAGCCGGGGCGCCCAGCAGCAGTGTTCCGGCCCCCGTTCCTACCAGCACCCTGCCCTCCACTGGGGAGAACGGCACAGAGGCCGATGAGCCACAGACCCCGTCACCCCCTCCGTCCACCTGGGCGCCCCCCGTCAACACCCCCTCTGCGCCCCCTGCTGGACAGACCACGACACAGACCATCACCACTCCAGGTAGGCCGGTATTCTGACCCCACTGCCCCAGACAGTGCAGTACTGGGTCACACTGCCCCCAGTCAGACAGTGCAGTACTGAGTCACACTGCCCCCAGTCAGACAGTGCAGTACAGTCCAGTACAGGTACACTCTGTATAATGGTTTAAATGGGCTAACTCCTTTTGTACCTATATTTTTTGTAACAATATAACTATTAACATCATCTACACTTTGAATGTAATAGACTTGTTTCAGCTGATTCTGATACATTGAATTGCATTTAAAACCAGATAGAATCAGAAACTCCTCCATTAAAAGTTATGGTTTACAGTTGTTTATGTGTTTAATTTTTAATCTTCAAACTGTCTCAGAATCCTTCATTTAATCACTTTGCAACTTCGTATCAGCTGGCAAACTGTTTCTTTGCTCCGACAGTCCCATTTTCTGAATACGGACTGTTTCACCTGCAAGTTTGAATACATCAGTGTTGTGTTGTGAGTGTTGATCTGTTGAAAACAGAGTCAAACTGAATGAAGCCCTTGAGTGTATTTGGCAATTAGGCAGAAGCCCATGTAAAGTGTCTTGCTGTGAAGGAAGCAGCCCACACAGACACTGTCAGGGCAGCAGGTCTGTAAGAGGGCGGCAGCAGCTTCTTTAGGAGAAGCAGGTCATTTGCTTTGAAAGGATTGGAAAAAAACATTATCCAAAGCTCCTGCTCTTCACCTGAGCATGCCGTGTTTCAGTGGTGACCAGAGCGTGTTTGAGAGTCTCCTCGGCTATGAGGTCGGTGAGCACTGTTGCTATGGTAATGTTCTGACCTGTGGGACTTTTTTTTTGCAGGTGGTGACAGTGGCACAGGTAAGAGGCAGTACAGATCCCCCCTCTATAGAGTGTCAGTGAGTTCTTGTCACCCCTCTGCCCCCTGTGTGCAGTCAGTGAGTCTGTGATTCACCGCGAATGTGTTTCTCAAGGCAGTGCCCTTCCTGTGTCTCTGCTCCACTCCAGCATTTCATCTGGCACTGACAGAGGAGGCAGCAAGACACCCTGACATAGCTCAGCTCAAGAGTGAGCGTGTGAGTGTGCCCCCCGGTGCTCTAGAGTGAGCATGTGAGCGTGCCCCTGGTGCTCTAGGGTGAGCGTGTGAGTGTGCCCCCCTGGTGCTCTAGAGTGAACATGTGAGCGTGCCCCTGGTGCTCTAGGGTGAGCGTGTGAGTGTGCCCCCCCTGGTGCTCTAGAGTGAGGGTGTGAGTGTGCCCCCCTGGTGCTCTAGAGTGAGCATGTGAGCGTGCCCCTGGTGTTCTAGATGAGCATGTGAGCGTGCCCCTAGTGCTCTAGAGTGAGCATG